AGCACGCAATCTGTGCTGGCCAACCCACTAAACAGACTGAGCTATTATTACAGCAGGCACTGATGTGAGCAGCCACAAAAAGGAAAACAGATTTTTGGGCTCCTCATGTGTCCAGAGCTATCTGCACATCCTGTCCCTGGTTAACGGAAAACATGTGGTAAAGTCCTGCCAGGCTGGCATGCAGCTATAGCCAGAGCTAGCTTTCAAAGCATCTACATCTTCTATTTCCTCACCCCTTTCTTGAATAAGCCCACTAAAATCTAGCTCAGGAAATGGTGAGATACCAATATGCTTAAATCTCGTCACTGATGTTACTTCTTCTGCAGAGCCTTGCCGTTTCGGCTGCATCCTCTTTGGCTTGCTCACTCCCATGTGAGGCTTACCAATTGCTGGGGGACACTTGCCCTTGCTTTCTTAATGTGTTCCTACACCCCAAAAGTATATTATGTGTATAATATACATGTTGTAAGCCTGAGACTGTGCTCAAACCAAACTCACTTTGTTCCTATGACACATGGACACCAGCCTGCCAGCTGCTACAGACCTGACCCGCTTCAGAAACCTGAGCCTGAGCTATGCCCTTGCGACCAGCCTCTGCACATAGTGACCATGGACAGCTGAGGCTCAGCCTGGCTGTGGCAAGGGACGTGATGGATGCCAGTCAGCCCTGATGACCTGGGGTCCTCCTAGCAGGGCCCTAGCACCCACACACTGAGGGCAGACAGGCTCTGTAGGATGCCCATTTGCAGCCATGCAGATAGATCAGTGAATGGCCCAGGTTTCAAGCTACTCCCTGGCACCGGCAGCTCAGTAGATGCATCGGGTCATCCCCTGTTGAGGATTTCTTGGCTGGGCGAAGGCATGTGAGCAATCCAGCCGTTACGTGGGAACGAAGCATAAGTTTACAAAGTGCTGGAGCAGACAAGGACGCTGTGTCCTTGTACACTGGGAAAAAGGAAGATAAGAAAAGCCCGACAAACAACACCTGGATGCTGAAGAATGAGATAAGTAACTGCTGGACACCTCGTGAAGAAGCTTGCACAGCCAATAGAGAATAAGATAGTGTCGCGTGAAACGGGGTATTGTACCAATTAGAGTATTGTATAAGGCGCGTGCACAAGCGCATAAGGTATATAACTGTATCAAACGTTGTAGTAAATGGACTTCACTTGATCACATTGGTCTGTGTGTGATGTCCCTCCGCAACAATCCCTGACCTCACCATCAAAGACATGAGGGCCAAGTCACCACTGAGGCCTCATATCATGGAGGAAGTCTTGGAGGAGTAAAGGCAACGATCAGGCATGCATGCAAAGAAGCGCTGGCATGGCAGGGTGGTTGCTAGTGCATGTGCCTGTCTGGAGCCACCAGCCCACCTTGAACCCTGTCAGGAGTGGACTTTGCCACAGAGGAGGGTGAGATGGGGCTGGCACACAGCAACCTACCCCCGAAAATCCTCCCACCTCACCACCTTCCTCAGCCAGGGGTGGCATTTGTGTATGTAGTGTTTCCTGGGGACTATTTTTCTTCTTTTTTTCTTTCTCTGCAAGTCTGGAGAGCTGTAAATACGGAGCAGCCACAGCATCCTGTGGCACAGGGCTCCCCAGTGCAACCCTGCACTCTGTGCAGATCTGCCTCCAGTTGTTTGCTTTGAACCTGCCACCTGCTACTTTTATTTGATGCCCCTGAAGTTCTTGTCTGAGAAGGAACAGTGTACAATCACTCCTTATTTTATAATGAGGTCACTTTGTTTTGAGTCACTGTTGTCCAGGTGCCTGCTTCTTTTTAATTCAACAGTGAAAGCGCCCAAGTGCCTCAAGGACACAGACAGGCCTTTGTAATTTTTTCTTCATTTTTCCCAAACATTACTGGCGAGATGCACTGCAAAAGTCTGCCAGTTGTTACCACAGATGGCTGAGACCGCAGAAACAGCAAAGAAGTACTCACCGCACTTGCCTTGGCATTTGTAACCTATTTGTACATCCTCCATGCATCGCTATCTGCAGACACCTGCACATGCCCCTCCCCAGCACAAGCTCTTTTGCCCATGCCCCAGATGCACATCCACCAGCACCCATCCTGCTAGGCCCATGCTTGCTTGCATGTGTGCCCACTGCCTTTACTCCTCCAAGACTTCCTTCCGCTTAAAATATAAATAACATGCCATAAATATAAAGGCCACTGTAAATGCACTCTGTGTCTATACACCCACACTGTATCAGCACGTACCCCATCCAACCCTAACCTGATACACACCCTTGAATGCATTCTTCCACCCTGCACCTTGCCACAACATGCTATGCAGCTTCAGAAAGAGCAAGGGAAAGCCCTAAGCTGCTTGAAGATGGTCTGTCCAGCTGAAAACTCTGCTGCTTCTCTGCCAAGCTGTGTTTCAGTGGCCTCCATCTAGCCTGGGGTGAGAACCCCGGCCCTAGCAGTGCTGCTGATTTTGCCTGTTTTCCTAGTCAATCTGGTAGGTTGGCAGGTAGGTCAACACTCAGCATGCAGTTGGAAATGGGGCGGTAGGTGTGTTTTCCAAGTATCATCATGCTTTGTAGCACACAGGTGGTGAGTGTGCTGCAGGTGGGCTTCACATCGAGCCCTGTCAAACAGACCCAGGTGAGCACAGGGCACCCTGCTTGTGGGTGGCTGTAGTAGAGTACAGAGATTTCTGCATAAAGGAAACATACAGAGACATAAATATATACAACATCTGTGTGCATGCATGTACATACATATGTTTAAGAAAATGTTTGGACAACACAAGAAGAGCCGATCTTGCGCACTGGCTGCAAAGGGTCTCACCGAGTCTCAGGGTACACATACAACTCCCTTTGCCACTGCTGTGAGCTTGGTTCCCCTCTGTTATTTTTATAAGGCCATAGCATTAACTTAATTAATTTACTTTAACTGGAGAACAGTATTAGCCTAAATGATCCCACTTAAATCGCAGAGAAGCTGTGGCCAAGCTCTTCAAACAGCTGCCTGTCCCCATTCACCCTCCTGCAGATGGTTAACACAGCTGAGTTCAGTATGCCAGGGCTGCACCTTGGCACAACAGTCCTCCACTCTTCACAGGGTTTGTTTTCGCTCTGAAGGGAAATACCTGCACGTCTCCAAGCGAGATTGGTTCAGAGCAGAGAAAGATCTCAGCTTAGAAGTTACAGGCTCCCCCAGTGAGCCATGACCCAAACCTTGTGGGAGGACTAACTCTGGAGCAGGGAGATCCAGCAAAGCAGAGGTCCTGAGGGACCTATGCCAAGCTGACCATGCTTGCAGAGTGCTTCACTTGCACCCCAGCCAGCACTCCTGCCTGCTCCAGCAGTGGATGGAGTGTTTGTGCAGGGTGTTTTGGAAGACACAGAGGTAAACAGCCCCACGCTGATGTATGCCAGAGGCAGCAATAGGGCACAGCAGCTACAGCAAGGAACTGCCTTCAGAAGACCACAGCTCAGCTCTCATTTCTCTGATTTCTGCTGATGGCTTCCACAGCGGTCTTTGGCAAACCCTTCCCCCATGCCAGGGTCTGGTATCCAAATGAGGCCAAAGTCTTTAGCTTCTTTTGTCAGCTACACTGGTAACCACAGCTGAAAAGTACCCCGTAAGATCTTCGTGAATACCACTAACCTGCTTTCTTTTAGCTTCAGAGCTGTCTATCAAGGCTTATCATCATGTCTTACCACAAAACCTTCTGTTTTGTCATTAACTCAGAAGCCCAACTTGCAGGGAGAGATGAGGGGCGGGCAGGATTGAACTTAACCCAAACACATGCTGGGGCTCAGACTACAGCCCTGGGGGCAGCCGAAGCAGCTCTACACCCCTCCACCCTGGCCAGTTAGCTGTCTGCACACTGCAAAGCTTTATGCCAGCTTTCTGCTGTTCGCCTGCTGTACTCTGGCTTCGGCACAATCTGTGTGCGTATCTACAGCCTGGCTGGTATGAGGTCAACACATCCCTCTCTATGCATTTATATACTTATAAACAAGCTTGCGCTAGCAGAAGCCTATAGATGATCAGGGTTTGTGGAGCCATAGTGCCCACCATTTTTGAACAGCATCTAGGGCCCCAAAGGTGGGTGCACTGAGCAATCAGGCTGTTTTGGAAGAAACATCACAGAGAAAGGTGATTCTGTACGGGAGGTATGAGAGCAAAGGACTTGGGGGAGCCAGCAAGTCCACCTTACAACCATTGGAAAATGGGCCAAGGCCAATTAACAATGAGCTGCAACTGACATAGAGAGGAGAGGATTTCAAGATAAAAGAGACGGCAGAAAGCCTAGAGGAGATCAAAGCTTGGAGGGAAGAGCAGAAAAGGCCTCCTGGGAATGAGTCTAAGTAGGACTGCTAAGGGAATTTAAGCTAGTATCTCTCAGGGGGCCTTGGAAAAGGGGACATAGGTAATAGCCTTGTGAGATGCTGGTTAAGATACAGAGCTAGGAGTGTGGGGGAGAGACAGCAAGGGGTGGGGAATGCATATTACAAGTACCTGAGATGGAGTTTTTAAGATCCAGAGGAAGGGGTGAGCTAGAGTTACGCTCTGGCTGTAAGCAAAAGGGCTGATGAGAATCCTGGGATAGAGATGTAAGATGTACTGAGGCTAAAATTGTAAGCCAAAGACCAGCTGTATGGTCACCCACAGGCAGCTCACATTCAACCCCCAAGCAATAGGCAGGTTACTCAAAAGCCAAAGCACCTTCTTGGTGAGGGAAGCACCAGTGAGGGTCAATATACCGTATCAGGGCTAGCCTCAAAGGGAGCAGCTGCACACAGAGCTCCTCTTATATGCAAAGAGCCTGGCATTCATTTTAGAAAAGCTCTTGCTAGTTTGTTTTCAAAGCCATTCTCTTGCAGACATGGCCTGGGATTTGGGAGCACTTGGGAGTAGCAGTGCTGTGTCATAGCTCGCTCTAATCCATTCCCTCCTATACCTCTGCCCACAACCACCCAGAAGATGGCAAATGCATGAGACCCACCAGAGGTGTGAATATAGCAGCTGTTACACTTTATTTTGTTGTTTTTATTTTTCCTTCTGATTGAAAAAGACAGAGAGAATTTACAAAAGTACTAAAAGGCAATGATATCTGCAGGACATCCCTGTTCCCCGCTCCCACCCAGGGGAAGGCAGGCTGTCGCACCCACAGGCTGGAAGAAACACGTCTCTGGGGCTAAGCACCTCAGCAGCTCTCACTGAGCAAAGCCTGAGGGCGCAGGGCCATGCCAGGGCTGCTGCCCCAGCCATCTGCACAGGGAATGTGCCTCTTCAGACACGTACCAGGCTATGGCTGTCCCTTCTCCTGAGCACAGGGATTTGGCCCAAAGGGGCAATGGTTCCTGTCCTGCACTGGTCAGCTTGATCTGGCAACAGTTGAAAAGTGGAGGTGTGCCATCAAAACAAGATAAGCAGAGTCTCTACAGGAGCAGGAAGAATCAGCAGAGGAATCAGCCTCTGTTGGAAGAAGGGACTTCTTGCAGGGAATCACGATGCTCTGCCAGAGGTACCTCACCAGCAAACACAAGTGAGCCCTTGGAGGTGTGCTGGTGCAGGGGGTGGCCCAGATGTGACAGTCTGGAGCTGAAAAGCAGGCAGAGCTGGGGCTGCATCAGGACAGATGTCCCCTCACTGCCTTGCCCAGCTTCTCTGCCTGCCTGAGAGGCAGTTGGGAAGGGAGGAGGGTAGGGGTAGGGGATTCAGGTCCCCAGGCCTATGCAGCCTTTGAGCTTTCCCCAAGGATCTCAATGAAGGGCCCAGAAAGCACCAGTGAATGCTGGTTCACTGTGTGGCCTCCTACTGGCAGCTGGACTGACCACCAGTCTCACTGAAAGAATGACATCAAAGAACTCCACACTGGAGATTTAAAAGCAAAAATTATTTTATATTACTCACAGTTGCTCCTCTTGATCCAGACAAGAAGTGAACTACTCATTCCCCCTTGCACTCAGCCAGATACAGGCTCAAGGTAGGGAACACATAGACAAAGCGGTTACTCTCTCCACCAGGTGCAGCGAGAGGAAATGCCTTGTTCCTCTGCCTCACCAAGAGAAGTAAGAGCTTGTTCTATTAGCCATTGCCTTGTGGCACAAAACACGTACATGCCTCAAGGCCAGTTCCCAGTGAAACTCCAGTGGTAGCATGGTCCTAACTGCCTTCGGACTGTCTATGGAGAAATGTCCCACAGCTTCACCCAAACTCCCCTCCTGTTTCTTCCACCAACAGGTGGCCACAAAACAGAGACCTCTTTCTCCCACTCCACGCTACATCTGGGAATACTTGTTCCACTGATACAAGAAGAGTCCACTTGAATTTAATAGCCAGCATAACAGGGGAGTGGAAAGCTTGCTGGAGACATTAGATTTGGCTGAGTTTGATGATACCAGTTACCTTCAGCATCATGTTAGGGCAGCAGGGTATTTGGACAATGCTATGGGGAAGTGCTGCATATCCCAGAACACAGACAGCCTCAGCAGCGAGGAGATCCAAGAGCACACGGTCACCCCCAAGTTCTTCTCTCTGATGATGCTGAGGACTGAGGGTGGGCACTGTGTTTTCTTGGATAGCTGAATACAGACCTTCCATTCTAGAATTTCATTCTAACCCTTGATCTACAAGTGGGAGGCTCATGCCTCCCATTTTAATCCCATTTTAGACAATACCACTGAGTTGCCAGCAGACCAGGTGGAACACACAGAGAGATGTGCCAGTTACCCCCTCCCACCTCCCTCTCCTAGGGTCTTCCACTTAAGACAGCTTGAAGTGAATGCAATTATAACAATCTCAGAGAAGGATCTTCTTGCTTTTCAGGCAATCCTGTATAGCCTCTGTCTCCAACCCTGAGCTCACTTCTGACTGGGAGAAGGGTCAGGTGTATAGCAAAGCATTGTAGACTCAGGTACTCTTGGGAAACTGACTGGACTTGGTTTCACACCCTGATCACTCACCCCTGCTGCCATGTAGGCCATACTAGCCCCTGAACCCCTCAGATATCTTCAGCTACCACCATCCCCATGTTTGACACTGCCTTGGTGGCTGCCCTTGCAGTTTGTGGACCTGACTGGTTTGTTTTGCCCTGAAAGACAAAAATCTCTCCCTTTGCCACTATTCAGATATGGCAATGGTATGAAAGCAGTCACTGCTGCAAAGTCAATGCTGCCAGAGAGGCTCTATTGCAAAGATCTGTCATTGTCTCCTTCTCCCTCCCATCCCCTTGGGTATCACCACCTCCCCTCCTCCCTGCCAGGCAGGTGGTTGGTCGATAGTTCCTGAGGTTTTTGGAGAAACTCCTTCAGTAGGCACATGACGGTTCTTCCACTGGAGCTATTGGGCTCAGCGGCTTCAAGGTGCTGAGGGAACGGAAGGCAAAGGTGGATGGATCATACACAAAGTGGGGTGGTGGGCGGCCTCCATTAATGCTCTGCATGGGAATAAAAAGAGGGACAAAGTCAGTGCTCATATAAGCTGCAAACAGTGACGTCTTGCCTCAAGTGCTTTGTCACATCCCTCTCTGGTACAATTACACCTACTTGAATGGGTGGTCATGCTTGTACTTGCAGCAAATAGCACTAACATAAGCAGTGAAGCACTTTGCTTCACATGGAGGTATCGCATGGAAAAGCTAAATTCAGATTCACTTGGTCTTGGAGGAGGATCTACTATACTTTTAGAGCAGGGAGATAAACCAAGTCATCTCTGAAGGCTCATTCTTCAGTCCTATTTTTCAACAACTCTCCAGTAAGGATTTACAAATCACCCTTTCTTCATCGATAAATTCCCAGGCACATTGAAACTCTCCAGAATTTTGGCTCCAGCCTCCACAGTTCAATGAGGAATGGCTGAGATACGCTCAGAAGAAAAGATCCCACCTGAAGGCCTTACAGCCTGGTTTGTACCATGGCCACCAAAGACCATTCTCTCCCCTTTTGCTCCCAGTGTTCAGAGCATGGTCAGAGCAGATCCAGAATAAGGAGGCAAGAAATATGTGTGCACTTCCTGCACTGCATGACAGGATAGAAATGCTGTTCCCCACTAGGCTGTGCTGGGACCTGTGGATCCCTGAGGAATTATGGTGCCAAAGAAGTGATTCTACTCTGTTAAATAGGAAGTGGTTTTGTTTTACTTCTCAGGAACTTTGTTTTGTTTCTTTCCTTGTGCAAGCAGAAGCACCAACGGGGCAGCTGCTTCACACTCTTTGGCCAGGAAAGGAGGTCTCACAGCTCTACAGGCCAGCAGAGTATTTAATCATGATCCTGCAGAATTCATTCCCTAGGGATAGGTGTGAGCTACTGAATACCACACGCTGGGAAGTTCAGCAGCTCAGAAACTTGTGCAAATGTCCCCTACCCTCATCTCACTCCCGTCACTGCTGGGAAGGGCTTTACCACTGTTCTCATGAAGGTTAGAAAAAACCCAGTGTCGTGGTTTCAGCCCAGCCGGTAACAAAGGACCACGCGGCCGCTCGCTCACTCCTCCCGCCAAAAAGAAGAGCACACCCCCCCGGCCCGCTCCCCATTTATATACTGAGCATGATGTCACATGGTATGGAATAGCTCCTTGGCCAGTTCAGGTCAGCTGCCCCGGCTATGCCCCCCACCTCCCAGGTTCCTGTAAAAAAAATTAACTCTATCCCAGCTGAACCCAGGACACCCAGTGAGAGGAGATCTGGCCTGGGTGCTGGTGTTACATGCCTCCCTGCTGCCTCTTCTAGGCTTTTTCTAGCAAAACCCATGGTTTCCCTTGCTCAGTCTGCACTAAGGGACTGTTCCTCAAAGAATTAGGCTTTTTAGTAACAGTTACCAACTCTGCTGTCTCCTCTAAGACAGTGGTTCATTTTGGCACTTCAAAGTCAGGTCTATCAGACAGCTGCAAGCACATACCAGCATGGCAAGGTGATGTTCTGATGCCACCTGCCTCTATCCTGGCTGGATTTTAACTTGTCATCACAAGACAAGCACGTGCAACTTTTCCCAGAAAGCTGCTCAAATGGTCAGGCCTACCCAAACAGTCATGCCAAATTAGAGAGTGCTAAACAGAAGTGTCCAAGCCAGGCCCCAGGTGCTACAGTCACTGCAGCAGGATCTGGAAGCTTCTGCCTCCTAGATCTTTGTCACAGTTCAGCCCCATACTGCAGCCTTCATGTCAGAAAGGGCCTGTTTAAAAACCAGTGTGGGCAGCATGTTCCTGCCTAGTTGGTACCTCCTCTGCAAATTAAGATGGGCACTTGAGAATGGAAAATGGCAACACGCTGCTTGGCATAGCTGTGCCTGGAGTTTCAGCCAGCAAATCATGCCCTGCTACATCCCCCTGACACCTTAGCCGGCAGCATAAGAAACAAGAGAGGCAGATTTAAGGACCTTTTCTCAATAGCCACCTGCTGTGGGGTTATATAT